AGAATACGTGGTAAACGCGCCTCAGAGATGCACTGCAGACGTCACGGCTTTTGGGTGAAAATCGCACGCGATATTCGGTTAGACTATAATTATGATATATAGGTAAAAAAAAAAAAAAAAAAAAACTGAGTGAAAATGGATATCGGCAAAACATTAAAATTTTGACAGCATTTTTATTTATTTGTGTTCGTCAAGGATAAATTTAATAAGAATACTCTCTCTCTCTATATATATATATAGAAGCGAATATTAAGGAGAAACCCGAGAGAAAAAGTAATAAGCATAACAGTCAAAACATGCAGAAGTTAAAAAAAAGTTCAGAGTTAAAAATCTTGTTGGCCACTACATATCCTCTTCGCAGAAGTTTATAGGGAAATTTTTAAGGCAGCTTGTAGCCGTATAAAATTGATGTTGTAAAGTAAATGACTTACGTTTTCACTAATTGCAGATAATTATTAAGACGGAATCAAATGAGTTAAATTATCATTCCCGGTAAATGGTTTTAGGAAATGTATTCTGAATCAGGTCAAAATTTTAAATATCTGCTTCGGAAGATCACGTTAAAAGATTTCACTATGTAGCCTACGGTAGCCATATAGTTGTGGGAATTTGTAAAAAAAAAAAGGTTTTGTGGTCTTATATGAGACTTCATTTTCACACTTGCAACCGACATAGAAAAATAATGTTTGAAAAGAACGATAAAAACACGTTTGTAAGCCCATATACGCGGAAGTAGTCTCATATGCTGGTACAAGGTCACGCGGATAAGGCACTTACAAGTTGATATGCGTTATCTTCATCTTTCTGTTTGATGAAGCATTTTACAGGTAAGGAATATAGTTGTATAGTATTTTCTGTAACAAGCAACGATAAAGTATGAGTTTTAATCGCTCATTTTTTCACGGAATCGGGTATAGTCGAGGCTGTATATTTGTTGGTCAGTTAGTTAACAGTTTGATACCATGACCGCGTTCACAAGTGCATTGATAAAAATCTTTTAGTTCCAATATAAGGGGAAAGGCAAGGAAGAGCATGACCGCAAACTCCACTGTGTAATTTCTTATACCCTTCAATTAACGGTTATATTTAGGGATTACAGAGGAAGGGGAGGAGGGTGGGTGTAGCTCTAGCCAAGTCTTAAAATCCGGAAATAACAAAAACCGTGTGTGTGAACGAAAGCATTTGAAAATGATTACGGGTCATGATAGGGACGATGGAAATAAGGTAAAACTGACAATAGTAGGCTTCAATTTCATATATTATCATTGCACACGTATATCCTTGTCATCATTACCCAACGTTATAACCAAATACCAACAGCATTTAATGTCTAAAGCGGGGAAACGAGTACTTTCACATTCGCTACAAATTTCTTGTTAGTTTATATTTACAGCAGACAAAAACATCACGTGATGTATTACTCATACTTGTTCTACTTTTACTTACATCATTGGCTTCCGGGGCACGTAGGCCTATAACTGAAGTCACCTATGAAGCTGGCACCTTGAGATAATAAACGGTATCAGTGCCGCATTGGCCGAGAAATAATTTTGGTAGTGGCGGTGGTGGAGGGGGGGGGGGGGGGGGCAACAGTTGAAGGCCTATATATAATAACCATGTCTCCATGTTATTTGTAAAATATGTGGTTTTGCTGACTGATGGACTTTTGATCGTCTGAGAGAAAGGAAAATATTAACCTTTTATAGAGGCCGTCCTATAATATCACCTCCCCCTTGCGTTGTTGATCAACATTCGCAATGAGAGCATCAGATGATTTGCCTGACCTCGTCATAACCCAGCGGGCAAATTATGTTGTTTTAACGTTGAAACAACGTTGAACCATAACATTGATAATACGTTGGATAAACATTGGATTTGAAAGTTGACTCAACGTCAGATAACAACATTGTATCAACGCCAGTTGTTAGACAACATTCTTGCATGAAAAGACATTAAAATGACCTGAAATGTTTTTATTTTGGTACGAAACACAGGTACACAATTATAACGTTCACTGTAAAAACATCCAAGTGCCTGCTTTGTCTGATTTTTTCAACGCATTTAGCTCCTAAGCATGTTTTGCACCTAAGCATGGTACACCCTTTTAGCCAGGATGTGTTTAGCAGTAGGACATGTTTGATGGCTAAATATATGTAGGGTATATATGTATGGCCTTTAAATTAGGATTTACAAGGTTTAATTAATTATTGAAAACGTGATACTTTGTTTATCAATACTAGCTGTAACTAACTTTATCAAAATAATAAAAAAAGTGATTTTATGTAAAGGTGACAGTTGTTTTGTGTCTTTAGTGAACTAGTGAATTTTCTTAACTTGTTATTCAGAAATACATTCCAATAAACTTCCTTGCAAGGTCAGCTAACACTAGAATGAATACATGTAGATCGCTGTAAATGTGATGGAACAAAGTCAACAAAGTTGACAGTTCTCGGTACCCTGTTATGGATAGGTTGAGGTGGCTGTGACTTTGTTATATGTATTTTGACGGTATCTTCGATGTATTTTCTGCTTTTATAACAGCATCCTCCTTGCTCATGCAGCTTCCTTGATTTGTTATTGAGACATACACAACAATGTCATGAGAATTTGGTCGGCCATGTAGATTTAAATTACATTCTTGTTATGGCCCCCCTGCAGTGCACCACTAGCAAAGATTGAACTATATATACATATTCTTATATATGTAAGAAAATAACTTTATATATATATATATACAGACTTGACATTTAATATGGAATAGTTTTTCCAAAACATAATTCATCAGTTTTTTTTCCTATTTTGACTGATAAATGAAAATACAGATTAAAGTCATGTTTTAATATCTTTTGATAATCTCTTCGATGTCATTGTGACATCAGTTCATTAATTGAATTCGTCAGTGAAGCAAACAAAAATACATTGCATATTTTCAGTCATACGACAACCATTGAAAGTGATATTTTGGATCTCCATATTTTCCTAATTATTGTCTTTAAAAGAGTTACACGCCCCACAAAGGCCCCCTATGTCAGTGTCTAGTCACAGCAACAGTCGCTGTTACGCTTGACCTCATCTTGCTGCTACCAGAGCTTTCAAGCCGCAAGGCATTTCTTATGATAGGCTTTTTAGAGTTTAATCTGGAATAAAATTCCAGAATATGGTTAAAACTTGTCCAATTTGGCTCAGTTTTGATGTAGGACATGCAGGCCGTTGATTCGGCGAGTAATGACCTACCCACATATTGTCTATGTGGTTCAAATATGGCGATTTTGATGACCAAGGTAGCTACTCATTCCCTTGGTTCTGAAAGTTATCTGCTATCAAATGTGCTCTGTGTGAACCGGCAACCTCACCCTGCAACCTAAAATTGTTCCTAAGGTGCCCCCTATCAAATAATAGTCAAGTGGTTCCCAGATCATTCCTTTATTTGATCTGGTTCAGGTTTTCATCGATGACTACCATTGGTGTTTTGGCACCAACATGGTATCCACTCCAAATACTGACACTGTCAATGACCCTAGTCACTTAAGAAGTGGCACACGTTTCGTCGAAGGCCTCTTCAGAATGTCTGTAAACTCTGTTTTGACCAGTTTAGCGGTACAGGTTAAATCTGACCTCAATAAAGAAAGCCACGCGATTTCAGTGTTTTACCCAGAAAGTGTCATGGTCTCCAATTCATTAGAGAAACAGACTAGGCTGCTTTGCTGTTTACAGTGGCTTCCTCAGAGGTCGCCTGGAATCCTAACCTGCTGAAATCAGTTTGGTGTTCGCTAAGAGCCTTGAAAAACAAGTTTTGGTGACAATTTGTCCCTCATTCAAAACGGACTGGGTGGTTTTGGTTTAATTGCAGCAGCATATCCTGAAGGACAGTGAGTCCTATACCCTGGTGGTAAGACGTCGATGCATTGGGCTTGGTCTCTGTGTACTGCCTCAAACTGAGCATAACTCTATAAAACTGTGTAGACCGTTCCGTTTGACACAATAATCTGTCTGGCAATGTCTGTGTTTTTCACGCCATTCTGGCGCAGCTTAACAGTTTTGTAAAACGCTGCTTAACTCACTTTACGCACTGCAAAACCGACCGCTTGCATGCAAAATTTCAAATTCTTCTATGCAGTATTTGCCGACATATAGATACTTTTTTGACAGAACCATCCTTCGCCAAAGTCAAGCTTTGACTAGCCCAAAGGAGCACTGCCCAATTAAATTACTGCATATTACACAAGGCAGCCATGCAACAGACTTGGTAGTCAGTTAATTGGCAGCGACACAACTGACTTCACACTTCTCCAGTCAGATGTCTTATATGAAATCTGAATTTTTTTTAAAAAGAACGCATTTTTACCTAGGTATACCTTCAAAACTGAAATATTCCATATTAAATGTCAAGTCTGTATATACTGTGAGTATATATATATATATATAACAAAGTCACAGCCAGCAGGCATAGTGGCATAGCCAGCAGGCATAGTTAGTTACAGTATTGATAAACAAAGTATCACGTTTTCAGTAATTAATATTTTAAATTACAATCCATGTCTTGCATCACGACGACCAAACAACAACGTTGAGTCAATGATCAAAATACAATGTTGAGTCAACATCACATTATGACGGTGTTTTGACGTGGCTGGATCAACGTTGATTTTACATTGAATTTAGGTAGATCAAGGGCAATTCAACGTATCAACCTGTTTTCAACGTTGATCCAACGTCACTATGCCTGCTGGGTATAGAGACGTATCTATTGGGATGAATATTTTATTAGGACATTTATCGATATGGCGGATCCCACAAAATACTCTTTTATATTAGTTCTGAATCGACCCTCCATCTGCGAGATGTTGGAATTAAACAACATCTCTCAGGTTTCAGATTACGGCACATGTAGGAAAACGCTGAGTCATGGAATATTCTAGAATATTCTGGAAATGTGAAAAAAAAAGTTCCGTCTTTACATATACAGTAAATAGTCAGATACAGAAGGGCAGAGTAGTGAGATGGAGCTCATTTCCTTCGTAGGCTTAATAGTCATAATAGCAATACTGGTAGTTACGTTCCGTAAGTATTTTGAAATTTTTTCATTTAAAATTGAAGTTGTTTCTTATATCTTACCAACAGTACAGTACTCTTAGACCCCATTTCCAGAGTTTAGTTCGATCTACTTTAGATCGACCTAACTCCCTGGGGGTTCACGCTAAATAGCTGGAAGAAGAAAAGATAAAAAGTAGTAATTATTTTAGAATAACAGTTAAAACATCTCCACTTTGTAGAGGGATTAGTGGTTTTAGATTGCCATGGATATGATGTCAAAGAAAAATTATATTGACAGAGATCCATTCTAATGTAATTCTTGTTTTAATCTTCAGGTTATGATGGCGCTTACAAATCATCCACAGCATGTGGAAGCAGAAAAACAAAAGTTGAGAGCACAAGTTCGACGTCTTTGTCAAGAAAATGCATGGCTACGTGATGAACTCGCAAACATACAACAAAAGCTACAACTTAGTGAACAAAAAGTTGCAGAAATTGAAGAACAAAATAAACATTTAGAATTTATGAAAAAAATGAGGAAATACGATGAAGAAGATACCACACAAGTAAGTTACTTTAACTTTGCATGGGCAAATAGATTTATATCTTTTGGAGTTAGAAGTTTTCTGTAGACAGCTTTTTATAGTGCACCAACTTTCCAGAGGTGAATTTGTCAGACATGTTTATTCATAATAAGTTAATACTGTTGTTACATAAGAAAAACCAGTCGTGAAATGTTAAAATATAACGATTTATATTCTTGCTCAGTTCATCATCACAAGCATCATGTTAGAAGTAATAATACATATGAAAAAAAGGTTATCCTTAATAATTTTAGCAGACAGGGATAATAACAGGCTCATCCACAGGGGCGGATTTAGGCTGTCTTCTGGGTCTTCTGGAAGACGGTCAGATTTTCAAGTTTACATTGACGGGTGTCTAATTTTTTCTGTCGGAAGACGGTCAAAAATGGAGGATGAATCAACAAAGATAATTTGGAAGACTGTCAGAAAATTTCTCTGGATCCGCCCCTGATCCACACTAATTGATATATATATACTGTATGTATATATATATATATATATGTTACTAAATAATTGTTTCAGGCAACTCCAGACCAAGAAACTATCAGTTCTGAGAAGGATTCCAAAAATCTCCCGCTAGACCTTGGCTTCCCAGATGGTGATGAAGATAATCAGCAGCAGGACAGCAGTAAGTATTGCATCAGAGCTCGTGTCCAGCAGCATTTTCTCCATTAGTTGAAGAGGGTTGCCTTCAGCAGTTTCCTTTAACATACCTGCTTGATATTAGTTGAGCATGCATAACTTACTATATGTTTAAATCTCTTTGTAAGTGATGCTATAAATTATAAGTAAAGAATTTTAATATTTCAATGATGTTTTAGTCTTGCTGGTGCAAACTATTTGTAAAATGTGATATTTCAGTGATGTCTCTGTCATTCTAGTGCAGAATGTATGCAAATTGCTGATATTTTAGTGATGTCCCTGTCTATTTGGTGTCGACTATGTACAAAATACTGATATTTTGGTGATGTGACGTCTCCACCTTTCTGGTGCAGACTATATACAAAATGTTGATATTTCAGTGATGTCTCCATATCAACCCATGGTGATGTCTCAAGCAGCTGCTGGCGGACATGAAATTCCCGCAAGGCTACGAACACTCCACAACTTAGTCATTCAGTTTGCTTCACAAGGGCGCTATGAGGTGGCAGTGCCTCTGTGTAAACTGGCACTGGAAGATCTGGAGAAGACAACTGGCCATGACCATCCAGATGTAGCTACAATGTTGAACATTTTAGCCTTAGTATACAGGTAATGGGTAACTTTGAATTGTTTTTTGTTTTTTTTGTGTGTGTGTGTACGTGGAACATTATTGAGACTAAACTGGGACACGTTTTAATAATTTTTTCTTGGTTATATGAACAGATTCTGTTTGCATGTGAAATTTTCTTATTATTGGACTTAGTTCACACTTATCAGAATTATGACTGTTTTCACGGGGCCGTAGCAATTATCCGAAGGTTCAATAGTCCAAAAGTTCATTGGTCCGAATGTTCACTACAGAACCTTCTGACCAATGAACCCTTGATTAAAAAACTGATGAAAATGTTACCGTTTTTGGACCAATGAACCTTCGGACCAATGAACCTTCTAACTATCGAGACGCTCCCGTTTTCACTCATACAGTTCAGTGCAAGGTTTTTTAAAAAGCTTATACCCAAAAAGAATCATAAATATCAGATAATCAAAAAGTGTATGCTTAGAAATATTGCCTCTACAATTGAAAAACAATCAAATTTGGTAGATATTAAGGATGGTAGGCAAGGCAAAAGAACTAGACTTGTATAACAATGCTGGTGTTTCAGAGATCAGAGTAAATATAAAGAGGCAGGCAGTTTATTGCACAATGCCTAAGTGATCAGGGAGAAAACTGTAGGATATGACCACCTTACAGTAAGTGAGAGAAGGGAACAACTAAAACAGATGTGTTCCCCACACATTGTGTTGATATCAGTGCAGACACTGTGGTCATTTCATGCTAAACCTGGCTGAAGTTTGACCTTTCAGACTTTATATGACCTTGCACTTTTACCAAGGTGAAGGTTGTGACAAAATGCAGAAAACATTAGCATGTGCCTAGATATAGGCCCAACTAGTTGAGAACACACAGCAGTGAATATAAAGCTAACGTGTTTATGACTGTGTAATTTCAGAGACCAAGGCAAATACAGAGAGGCTGCCAACCTGTTGAATGATGCCCTAGGCATCAGAGAGAAAACTCTTGGACCTGATCACCCTGTAGTGAGTGACTGTGATCCCAGCATGGCCTTTAAAATCCTCTTTAATGTGTTTGATGTTATTTATCTCGTTACCCTTGGCATGTGCTCTAATGTCATGCAAACTACTAGCTTCCCAGCAGGCATAGTCACATTGGATCAACGTTGAAAACAGGTTGAATTGCCGTTGATCTACCTAAATTCAACGTAAAATCAACGTTGATCCAGCCACGTCAAAACACCGTCATAATGTGACGTTGACTCAACGTTGTATTTTGGTCATCGTTGTATTTTGGTCATTGACACAACCTTGCAGTTATGGATTGTAATTTAAAATATTAATTATTGAAAACGTGATACTTTGTTTATCAATACTAAAACTAAATTGATCGAAATAATAACAAAAAGGTTTTAAAGTAAAAGTGACAGTTGTTCTGTGTCTTTAGTCAACTAGTGAATTTTCTTAACTTGTTATTCAGAAATACATTCTAATAAACTGAATTCCTTGCAAGGTCAGCTAACACTAGGATGAATGAGTTGCTGTAAATGTGATGGAGTGAAGTCAATAAAGTTGACAGTTTTTGGTAACCTGTTATAGATAGACAGGTTGAGGTTTTTTTTTTTTTTTGGTTGCGGCTCTTTAAGGGATGTTTAGGGTTAAATGGACATGTTACAAGCATGTGATGCATGATTTGCATTACCATATGCCAAGGGTAAAATGTACGTGTCACCCAAAATTTCCCCATTTGATTAACTGTACCATTGTGAAAATTTTGTTTTTATTTTCAAATTTTGTTCACCTTGTATATCCGATTTACCTTGCACAAAAGAATCTACAGTATTTGATTAGCATGGCAGCCTGTTTTATTATTAATATTGCCCTGTGCATTATATTATTATTTTGCTGCAGCTTTGAAGATAACTGCATGCTTGTTGTGACCACTGAAGTTGAATTTTAATGGAATTACAATAACAGAAAGTCTTCTGAATGTGAAGTTGCATGTTCCCAATTCAATCATTGAATCATTTGTGTAAAATGTTTTAGCTTTAATATACTTATATTTTACCCAGGAAACTGGAATTATAACACAAAACAGCATGCAGTAGTCTTCAATATGTATGCCTTATTTGATTTTTATCATGATGCTTAAAATTAAAAATTATAAACGGATTAGGCATTTAATTTACTAAGACCCCATTCCCAGAGATTAGATCGATCTACTTTAGATTGACCTAACTCCCTGGGGGTTCACGCTAAATAGCTGTCAGCCGAGCAGGCACGAAAGTTAATTACCCCCTTACAGCTTGTAGTAGGCGGGACGGACATTTAAGCTGGATTATCTGACAGTAATCTAGTGAGACTCCCTACGGGGATAGATCGATCTAAAAGCTCTGGGAATATGCCCTAAAACTACCTGCAGATCTTTTAACACTGATGCCCATATAAACCACGAATTAACCAACAGTCCAGTGTTTGCCTCTTAGGAAAATAAGTTGCTGAACCGAAAGCTCAGCCATCTTGGGAATTAGCTGGCTAGAATGCCTGCCGGGTGGGAAAACTTCTCTGCCCGTTCTGAAAGTTGTCTGCCCCAGGCAGACGGTCCAGCCTTAATTTCTAACACTGACCAACACTGTAAAAGTATTTACCACTACCATTGGTAGTGCTAGGTATCGCTATAGAAGTGGTCACGGTAATACTTTTACGATGTGTTGGTTAATATGTGGGTTATGTGGTTAATATGGGTGTTAGTGCTAAAAGATCTGCTGGTAGTGTTAGTAAATGCATAATCCATTTATAAGGCCTGAAATTGTCAACAGCTTTTCACTATATATAGAAAATATTCAAATGTTGCATAAATAATATTAATGGAACTTTACTCCTATGAATTGTGCTGTCATTATACTGTTGTAAGTGGTGTTTTATGTAGTATTGCAAAGGGGTATTATTACCAAAAATGTATAGTTTTATATCTTTAGGTTGCAGCCACTTTGAATAATCTTGCAGTTTTGTATGGAAAGAGGGGGAAGTACAAGGAAGCCGAACCTCTCTGTAAAAGGGCTCTTGAAATTAGAGAAAAGGTATGTATCTATACAGATATATTGTGTGCAACTTTTTTCTAATGTTTCAGTATGGAAGGTTGGAAGTCTCTCTTGATATAAATATCTAATTTTTGCCAGACAAGCATTTACGAAGTTCACTTAAAACTTTTGTTACTCAATCCCAATTTTTCTGCTTTTATTTTAAGCCAGAGATTGATTGTGTTTTTGAGTCACATTTAGAAAGTGAATTCCTAAACCTTATATTACATGACAGCTGCTTGCCCCCCCNGAGTTACTTAACCTTATGTTACATCACAGCTGCTTGCTCCCCCAGAGATTTATAGGCTGTAGATGTATCAGAGTTGTGTTTTCATGGAATGTTTTGTGTAATTACAGGTCTTAGGCAAGGATCACCCAGATGTTGCCAGACAGTTGAATACCTTGGCCTTGCTTTGTCAGAACCAAGGGAAATATGAAGATGTAGATATATTGTACTGAATTATTCTAAGTTTCATATGGAGATGGTTAATATAAATGGTCAAAATAGAGATGTGTTTTTTGATAAAATGCAAGAAGGGTCTCTGAAGGGACAGCTTTTGGTTGTGAATCCACAAATTCAGAGATCAGTTATTAGTGTTTTAGTCAAGTCTGTTTCAATTTGGCAGCAATTTGGCCATTCTTCTCTTTGATATATCAGTTTTCATGACTATTATTCATTTACTTCTAGGCAGAACAGTACTACCAGAGAGCACTGGAGATCTATGAGACCAAATTGGGGCCTGATGATCCTAATGTTGCCAATACAAAGAATAATCTAGTAAGTGGTGCAGACTCTAATGTGTTCAGCAAAAAGACTATCACAGCTTAAAAATGGAACAATGTTGTTACACTACCATGTTTACTGTGTAGTGACCTTGACCTTGTTACTAGAATAAAGTCCCGGATGTTGAGTTCCAATGGCGCTTGTGTCACTTTTATCTCGCTCTCTCTAACTTCGAGTATGCCTCTACGATCTGTCGTATGCATACATCGAAACATGGTGGCAGCGTAATCGGACCATGCCTAGAGTTGCCTCGACACCAACTCGACGGCATATCTAACTTAGGAGAAGCTCTTTCAGTGAAGCTCTGTGTTGGCGGGAGCTACGCGCACGCCACGTGACCAACTGTACATGCTGATCTTATTCTTCTCTATTTTCCTTATTACACTGATAACGATGGCAGAAGGAGGCCAGTCGGATGATCACAACAACTTTGCTTCACCTTTCTTTAATGTCAAACCACCGGAACCAGTCACTTTAACGAAGAATAAACAAGAAAACTGGAAACTGTGGAAGCAGCTATGGTCTCACTACAGTACTCGGTTGTAAGTAACCTTGACTCTAAAACAGAACAGTATAAGAAATCTCTGTTTATCTCTGTCATGGGAATTGAGGCCTTACGAGTTTACAACGGATGTGATCCGGCAGACACCGATACAGTGGAGGATATTCTCGGGAAACTTGACTCTCATATTCTAGGCGAGACCAACAAAACTTTTGAGCGTTATCAATTCAACACTAGATGCCAGGCTAAAGGTGAGACGATAGAGGATTATGTTAGTGTTTTGAAAGAACTAGCAAAAACGTGTAATTTTTGCAATTGTATGCGGGACAGTCTACTCAGAGACAGGATAATCATTGGCGTTATTGACAGCAATGTTAGGAAACGATTGTTTCAGGAGAAGAACCTAACACTTGAAAGGTCCATAGACATTTGCAGGAGCTACGAGAGCACCTCAAGGCACATGTCTCTCCTAAATGACTCTGTTATCTCTGACAATTCACTACATGTTGTCCGGAAGTTGGATAAGAAAAAAAACAAACAGCCTGTCAGAAAGTTTCCAACCCCCTCCATAATCCAGTGCAAATTTTGTGGTAAGAGTCACCCTAGAAAAAAAGAGCTATGCCCAGCCTGGGGTAAGCAGTGTTCCAAGTGTAAAGCGGCGAATCACTTTGCTATCTGCTGCCCTGCTGTGAAGAAAGTCCATGGTGTATCTGATGAATCTTTTACCATGTGTGTTACTGATGATACTCAGGTGAATTCAGTGAATGGTGGTCCTATTTGTGCTCAAATGTCCTTAGAAAATGGAAAGCAAGTGATATTCCAGATCGACAGTGGAGCCAGTGTTAATGTGATACCTGAGAAATATGTCCAAGGCACTAAGCTTGAACATTCTAAGACTACTCTCTCTGTGTACAACAGGAGCAAAGTAAAGCCCATTGGAAAGTGTCTACTCACTCTAGATAATGCAGGGAAGTTCTACCTTGTGGAATTCCAAGTTGTAAAGGAAAACTTTCAGCCCATTATCTCTCGAGAAACAGCTGAGCTCATGAATCTCATAACTGTTAACTATGATAACTTTCAGCAAGTTGATGCTGTGAATAGCCATAGCAACTGTGAAGCTATGATCTCTCAGTATGACTCAGTGTTTGCTACTAATGGACTGATCGGGCAGTTACCTGGTGCTGTGCATATTAAAGAGCAAGAGGACACCAAACCTGTGCAATGCCCACCTAGGCGTGTCCCAGTCTCAGTGAAGCCTAAGCTCAAAGAAGAGTTAGAGAATCTTGTGCGTCTAGATGTGATTACTCCTGTGAGTGAGCCTACTGAATGGTGCTCACAGATATCAATCCAGACTAAGAAGAATGGAGACATTCGGATCTGCATTGACCCTAGACCTCTCAATGAAGTGCTACAGCGAGAGCGCTATCAACTCCCTACTATTGATGATGTTCTGCCAGAACTCTAAGATGCTAAAATCTTCTCTACGGTAGACCTCGCTCATGGTTACTGGCACTGTATCTTGGATGAAGAGAGCAGTAACCTCACGACTTTCATCACTCCCTTCGGTAGATACCGTTGGAAACGTTTGCCCTTTGGTCTGAAAGTCAGTTCTGAAATCTTTCAGAGGAAACTCAACGAGTCATTAGAAGGTCTCAGTGGTGTTATCTGCATAGCTGATGATATTTTGGTCTATGGCAAGTCAACTGAGGACCATGACCGTAACTTAAAGCGCCTACTTGACAGGTGTGCTGAGAAAGGCATAAAGCTAAACAAGCAGAAAAGTGTTTTCTGTACCTCTGAAGTTGGTTTTATGGGACACACTATAACCAATCAAGGTCTAAAAGCAGATCAAACTAAGATTGAAGCCATCCTCAGGTTAGAGAACCCCACGGATGTGGAAGGTGTTAGACAGCTACTTGGTTCTGTGACCTACCTGTCTAAATTTCTCCCGAAGCTAGCAACTGTTGTTGAACCCATCAGGCGTCTTACGAGACTAGACACTGAATTTCTGTGGACTGATGAGCAAGACAGAGCCATGTCTGAACTTAAAGCTCTACTTACTTCAGCGCCTGTGCTATCCTACTATGATGCTAGTAAGGAACTATTTGTCCAGTGTGATGCTTCAAGCACAGGACTCGGAGCAGCTTTGCTTCAAGATGGACGTCCAGTCGCTTATGCCAGCCGTGCTCTCTCCGCTACTGAGCAGGGTTATGCTCAGATAGAAAAGGAATGTCTAGCAATGGTCTTTGCTATGGAAAAGTTCCATCAGTATACATTTGGACGTCACACTACTATTCACACTGACCACAAGCCTCTTGAGATGATTGTGCGGAAGCCACTGCACAAAGCTCCAAAGCGTATACAAGGTATGCTACTACGTCTTCTAAAGTATGACACTACAGTTATTTACAAGAGAGGCAAGGAAATGTTTATAGCTGATATGTTGTCTCGGAACTACCTACCGAATATGACAGATGAGAGTGATCACTTTGAGCAGATCAATGTCATTGGCAACATAAAAATGAGCTCTGAACGTCTCAGTGAGCTACGTGATGCTACTTTGAAGGATGACACTATGAATCTCCTTAAGTCAGTCATTGTGAAAGGTTGGCCAGAATCCAAAGACTATGTACCTTCTCAGATCATGCCCTACTTCTCCTACAGGGATGAATTAGCTGTGCACAGTGGATCTTTAAAGGCGATCGTGTTGTCGTGCCAGCTGCTGCTCGTAAAGCTATCAAGGATCATTTACATACTTCGCACTTAGGAGGTGACAGTATGTTGCGCCGTGCACGTGAATGCATATTTTGGCCAGGGATGACAGCAGATATACGTCAGACAGCAGAAGTCTGTGACGCGTGTCAGTCATACCAGAGATCCCAGCAACGAGAAACTCTTACTCCAATTGATTCTCAAGCTCCTTATGAAAAAGTAGGTCTTGACCTTTTCACTGTGGAGAATCATGACTACTTGATTTCTGTGGATTACTACAGTGGATTCTGGGAATGTGATAAACTCACAGATACCTCTTCCCAGAGTGTTATTAAGTGCTTAAAACGTCATTTTTCCAGATATGGAATCCCATCTACTGTCATTAGTGACAATGGACCTCAATTCTGTTCTGAGGAATTCAGAAATTTTGCTGCAACCTGGGATTTTGAGCACTATACTTCTTCTCCTTACCATGCCAGTGCTAATGGTAAAGCAGAGTCTGCAGTTAAAGCAGCTAAGACTATGATCCAAAAGTGTGTGAAAAGCAGAACTGATCCATTTTTGGCATTATTGGAAATTCGTAATACACCTACTCAGAGTATGGGGACAAGTCCAGCTCAGAGTTTTCTGAACAGGAGAACCAGAACTTTGTTACCTGTGACTGATAAACTACTTCAGCCTAGAGGCAATGATTACTTTCAGCTTGATAAGTATCAACTCAAGTGTGAGAAAGACTCTCAATGTAGAAAGTACAATAAACATGCACATGATCTTCCACCTCTGGAAGAAGGTGACACTGTGCGTATGAAACCATTCAGACTTAATCAGAAGGAATGGCAGAAAGGTGTTGTTACTCGTAGACTAGACGAGAGATCTTATGAAATTGATACACCTACTGGTTTATTCAGGAGAAACCGTGTTCATTTAAAGAAAACGAAAGAATCTCCTCCAAATCTCATTGTGAAAAATCAGTCAGAAAAATCTGTACCGATCACTCAGAGTACATGTCAAAAATCTTGTGTTAAAGTGAAGGATTCACTTAAGCAGCCAGTCTCTGTGAAAGTGCCAGAGAATATTGTTAAGCCTCAGAAGGCAACTGTGCCTATACGCGTAGATCTACTAGAACAGTTAAAAAGCCTGTATACCTTAAAGATTTTGTTCCAAAGTGATTTTGTTCATAGCAAGTCAAGTAATGTTTCTAACTTGAACTTTGTGTTGTGCAGATACTGTTTATTTGTTAATGTTGAGGGACAACATAAATCATAAAACTCAAAGTTCAAACTGACATTTATTACTGTTTCAACTTTACTGATGAAAGTTTCATCAATTCTTTTTCAGGATTCTGCATATGAACATTTACTTTATATGAACTGTACTGTAACTGTTGAGAACTGAAATAGTGTGTGCATTACTGTAAAATGTTTGATATTGTTTCTATTGCACATTCTTTCTTTGTTAAGCTTTATCCTCAAAAAAAGGGGGATGTTACACTACCATGTTTACTGTGTAGTGACCTTGACCTTGTTACTAGAATAAAGTCCCGGATGTTGAGTTCCAATGGCGCTTGTGTCACTTTTATCTCGCTCTCTCTAACTTCGAGTATGCCTCTACGATCTGTCGTATGCATACATCGAAACAAATGTGTTATCAAAACTTGTAACTTAACAAAATCATTTTATTGTAGTAGTTAAAGGCACACATTGCACATTAGAGCTTTATATAGCTAGTATTATGTTTTTTCTGTAAATCTCAACACTTATCTTTTACTCACCAAGGAATAACCTGTTCATGCTTTTGATGGTTTATTACTGAATATTCTGTTCTGAAGATATACAGGGTTGCCAGCTCCACCTGTTTACAATTGCTTTCTACATTTTTTTACAATAAACTCACTTTGTGTTGATGTGATATTGAAATGTTGATAACATGATGCTATATCCCGTGTTGACAACCCTGTTTTTATTGGGTGATATTCAACTATATATTTATATTCTAATTCAGGCCTCTGCCTACCTGAAGCAAGGGAAATACAAGCAAGCTGAAATCCTTTACAAAGAGGTTCTCACTAGGGCACATGAAAAGCAATTTGGGAAAGTAGATGGTAGGTTTAAACTTGGTTTAATATTCCTCATCTTTTGATTTGAAGACAGCATTTTAGTTTTAGACTCTTAATGCAGTAAAACACAAATCTCTTTGGCGTGAAGGTGAAAATAGTGCATATGTATATTTTTCTGAATTATCAATTAGATATAGAGTCAGTAATGAGAGGATTTTACAAATGTATATATCACTGCTACAACTTTAGTTATATTGAGAGGTTTTCCCCTGAAGAAGGTGTTACTGTTCCAGGGGCAATGATTTGGATAAGGTTGGAAATATTCCTTACACAGTCAACACTAACTTTGAAGCATTTTCCTTCCAGGTGATAATAAGCCCATCTGGATGCAGGCGGAGGAGAGAGAGGAGAACAAGGTGAGGGTTTTTCACTGTGTGACTACTTCACATGCTGAGTGTGGCCATCTTTACATCTTACTGTCATACACAGTGCACGATGGAAACAGGAACTATTACACAGTTAACAAGATGACTTTTTGATATACTACTAACACATACTCTTCCCAAGATGCACATTATATAAACATTATTATATTCTAAACTCTCCCTGTCCCTTGCATGTGACAGATGTTGTACTAAAATTCCGCATGATCTGAACCGTCTGGAGCAAAAGAATGTGGAACTTTAGAAGCTGACAAATTACGCATGTTTGTACACCTTTCAGCTTTATTTGCATCATTTTTTTTTCTCAGCTTATTGGCATTTCTAAGCATTAAGATGTACTCAGAGTTGCTAGCTGTACATTGTATGAATTCACATGAAACTTTTTCATACCAAAATTTTAAGCTGAACATTTGAAGTGAAAAAAAAACAAAAAAAAAAAAAAAAAACATGGAACAGCAGTGATGTGTAATGGATTTTTGTTAAAAGATAATATTTATTCAAATTGTCTGACAATTAATAGGCTCTAACTTACTGCTTTAATATAAAAAAGACTGCCTTGCCTTGATGCAGAAATGAATATTTATATTTATTTTTCTGGTCTTAATCCTCTGATTGCTGCCTTCATGTATTGCTCAACATTTTAGAACGATAAAATAAAAAAAAAATGTGGCTCCTCTATCATAAAAGTAGTAGGTAAAGATAGTATTATCACATAATTATAACCTATCAATTTGGGTTCTATAATATGGCATAACATGAGTATGAACATATATATGATATCATGAATGGAATTGTTAATTTAATGCCATTTTAGGGCAAGTTCAAGGATAGTGCCCCATATGGAGAGTATGGAGGCTGGCACAAAGATGCCAAGGTAGACAGGTGAGGAGAAAAGTCTGTTCTTTACAAGCTTGGCTGTCACCTTGATTGGATAGTAAACGATTGTCGTAAAATCGCTATATGATTTAAAAACCGAGTGCATAATTTTGAAAACCACCTAGAACAACCTCAGACTGTACTCTTACTTTAGAGTACTCTATTTTATTGTCTCTATAGGGATATAAGGGGACTTTACGACATTCGGTTTGAATGCTTGAACCACTTTTTATAGTTTATTTTTTGCATTGTATTAGATTAATGTGGCAGTCTAAGGTTGTTCTAGGTGGTTTTCAAATTTATGCACCCGGTTTTTAAATCAGTTAGCGATTTTGCAACAATCGTTTACTATCCAATCAAGGTGACAGCCGAGTGTGGTTCTTTACATAACATGTACAGATGTGATGTAATAATAGTATGTAATAAATGTTTGATCCATTCTGACTTCATCTTGGAAACCAATCTTTTAAAGAAATGCCATAAGATGATATTGGTACTTGATGTATATTTTCTTCAACATAAGTTAGAGATTGAAGGAAACAGTGACAAAGTAATTACGCAGCTGATGGAATACTTTTATTATTAAATGTCACTTGGGATATTTTATTTATCTGTTGTGCTTCTTATTCTAGTCCTACTGTTACCACCACATTAAAAAACTTGGGAGCCCTCTACAGAAGGCAGGGCAAATATGAAGCTGCAGAGACCCTTGAAGAATGTGCCAAAAACGTAAGTTTGTGCAGATGATTATTGCAGGTCAATTTTTATGATATTGGTTATATTTTCATTGAAGCTTTTTAAAGTAGTTTTTATTACATCCAAGCCTTATGTTATCTGTTCATGTTCTATGGATATCAAGTGGCTTGTTTCCCTTTAATGTAAAAGATAGCATATATTGTCTTTTTGGACAGCCTGCATGTTTGATTAATCATTTGGCAAATGTGTATTGATATCAGCTGCAGTTTTTTTTTCTATTTTAGATATGTTGCTCTCATTAGGATGCTTAAATATATGATATGTAAATAATGCAGCTTCAATATGTAGCATTATCACCTATTTTTGTGAGTTTGGCCTAAATACTTTGGCTGTGTCTCGATTTCATGCTTTCATTTATTTTATTAAGTTTTCCCTTGATTGTGAAATAACTGTGCATGAGGGGTATCAACTTTAATGTTTTGGTTCGGGCTCTTGATGTTATGCAGCAAACCAAGATTGCTGAAGTGGTCGGAAGCAAAGGCAAAGATCAAAATACCCCAAAAGAGAAGAAGTGCTCAAGCAGTAAAGATCGCATGCGCCAAGACTCTGCAGATAGAGTCTCGTATGACAAGAGTGGTGGTAATGCTGATGATGTGAGTATCAGCATCCATTGGCAAGGCGACGGGGTACATATGAGTACAGCACAAGAAACATTCCAACATGCACTGGATAGTGGTTAAGAAGATAATTCATTAACATGCACAAAATCAAGAAAAGTGTTGCAACAACCACAAAGCAAATGTTCTCTAAATTCAAAAATTAAGTACAAGGATAGCCAACAGATTGAGCAAGCCAGTTGATAGGAAAAAATTGAGGAAACTTTTAATTCAGAAACAAAAAAGCAAACAAAAGAAAAAGAAAATTAGCACACCTAAGTAATAACATTTTCTTCACTAAGGGTGGTTTTGTTAGCAAGGAAAGTCTATTTTCTAAAAATCTATTTTCTATTTGCGGTATCTTGTGATCACAGTCTGTGCCCTGAATATCCCGCGGCGTAATTACTGGCAGCGCGAGTCAGTTACTTCCGTGATCACAAGCTAAATTGCAGTCAGCCGAGCGCGCACCATAGTCAATTACCCCCTTACAGCTTACAGCTTTCAGTAGGTGGGACAGACGCTTAAGACGGCTAAGCTGAAGGTAATCTAGTGAGACTCTCCTCAGGGATAGATGGATCTAAAATCTATGGAAATGGGGTCTAAGCTTCTGCACAGAGCACAGCATTTTGAGCTGTATGTATATGGCTATATATATCAACTCAGACCTACTCTAAATAGCTGTGGACAGTAGTACATTTAAACCTTGGAGTTGGGAATAGTGCCTATGCTCAAATACATTTTAATTCAAATTCTAAAAACATGGTAATGGATATTGTGACTTAGAACTGATTTGTCTTGTATTAGTATTTAAGTGGAATCGATAGTGATATTTGTCATTTAGAATAGGTCAGCATCCACTGAGAGTGTAGTGTCCGCCACTTACATTACTGTGTACAGGCACAGATCCTGTTGGTTGGTCCATAGTAGGGGTAACTTTAGTGGCAGATTTTCTGTCATCTGTTATTACTATTTACTTCAAAAAATATCATGGAATATTTCTCTTTTCTGTGACAACAAAAAATGAGAAACTATAATTAAGATGAACTGTGAAGGTTTCACAGCCATGTGAATGAAATCAGCCTTCCTTCCAGGGATGTAAAATCCTCTTCATATAACTTTTTTTTGGCCATTCTATATGGAACTGTAATATAGTTCAAGAAGCACTTCAGCTGGGTTAATTGGGAGAAAAATATTCAGTAATTTAACATATCCAACATTGTGAGAATGGGTGGTATGCACAGATTTTCTTTTGTAGCATTTTTATTCGACTGTTTCTTTTTATCTTATGTCAAGAAATTCATTCTTTGCTTTTCTTGTGCATCTGTGTTGTGTGTCTGATGAACTTTGCATGCTTCTAGTGTACGTGGGTATTAAAGTTTGCACTGTAACTTTGGTGATGGAACTATATGCCACTAAATTACCCCCATAAGGCCAAAAAAATTAGGTCATCTTTTAACCACCATATAATTGGTTAATTTAGAGGGATAAAGTTAATATTCTGTTCTAACTTGTCTTTCTACTAGACTGGGAAACTAAAAGGCAGTGGTTCGTTTTCCAAACTACGAGCATCCATTAAAAGTAGCAACGCTAAACTGGTACAGAAACTGAAAGAACAAAGGTCCTCCGACTCTGACACTAATTTGGGAAGGTAAGATAGACCCCTTGTCCCCCTGACATATAATATAACAGACTTACTTTAGCATGCATGGCTTGGTGATACTAGTGTTAGAAGGTGCCAATGTTTAATGACATGCAGTGCATTGTGCAGAGATATCTAACAAACTAGCTACCTATTACTCTTTTTCTTTTTTTTTTTTTAATTCGAAATTTACCGTGTTTTGTTTTGTTGGATTGTGATTGTTTGCTTGCAGTCCATGTGCTTGATATTTGACTATTTTAAAGTAAATGATAAGTTTTTTTTTAATTTGGTTTAACAGGCATTAAGTTATTGTATTTATTTAATATTGTCCTTAAGTTTGCTTGACTTTGATTAGCCATTTCAATTATTTTCAAAGTAAAATATGGGATTTAATAGCCAAATTAAACTTGCACCTGTAACTTCCTGGAAGGGGATGGACATTTTCAAATTGTCAAAAGTTTAAGCACATAACGGAAGCTTAAAAGTTACATTGTTTAATGGTCAACATTTTGAAGGGGGGGGGGGGGGGGGACACCACTGTTGGTATGCATTCAAATTTTGATTAACCCAAATGAAAACTTAAAAATTAACCATAGTTACAGCCTAACAATTAGAACCCTGATGTGTCTGGAAAGACCTAATTAATGATAAGTAATATACTAGTTGATTTATGGCTGTGTGCAGAGATAAGGCTAAACATGGAAACAAGCCGAAAATTTTTAAAAATCGAATATCCTGTTTTTTTTTTTTAATCTCCGTTTTAAATTTTGCTTTGCATTTAATAAAATGACTTGCATTTACTAAAGTTGTAAGTCACTATTAAAGATAATTCTGCTTTGCTAAGCTGTTCAGACTAGCCATTTAGGTTAGATGAAATATCCAGTACTGCTACAGATAAAAAATAAAGCTGTGTGCCATAAATATTTATATCACTATTGCTTTGTCTGCACTAACCCCACAAAGCTATTTGAATCTGAGCCTGCACGGCTTTATAGTATTTCATCTGGCTTCAGTCTTATATCAAGAAATTCCAGTTTTTAATTGTATCATTTATTCTCTTGTGTTCTCTTGCAGTTCAAATACACTTAAGCCTTTCAATCCAAACTTTTTTCTGCTCATTAAATATCTGAGGGTGCATTCCCAGAGATTTAGATCGATCCAGAGATTTAGGTTTAGATCGACCTAACTCCCTGGGGGTTCACGCTAAATTGCAGTCAGCCGAGTGCACGACATAGTTAATTACCCCCTTACAGCTTTCAGTAGGCGGGACAGACGCTTAAGCCGGCTAAGCTGACAGTTATCTAGTGAGACTCCCCACAGGGATAGATCGATCTAAAATCTATGGGAATGAGGTCTTACTTTAGTTAAATACAACTGCTGTGCATGCAGCAACCTGCAATGTATCATAAGTTGGAGGCCATGTTTATTTCAGGTGAAAGTCTGCATTGCTGTGGGATTTTATAATTTTTCTTTATTTTGATTTTTGTTTTGTTTTATGTTGCAGCATGAAAAAAGCAAGCCCAATGTCAGTGCTGAATGCAAACAGTGAAGAAGAGAAATTTAATGTGAGTTCCTGTTTAACAAAAAAATTGAAAAATTTAGACCTTTACAGATATGAAAGCACTAAATGTCACATGAATGCAGGAATCTCACAGATTTTGGTTCATTTTTCAAGTCTTTAATTACATGCATGTTTGAAGACTTTTCACAACTTTGTAATATAAATTTTTTCAGGTTGGTATCTTGGTTATTCATGAAAAGGCCAAGGGTTTTATTTTTCATCTTGCAAACATTTAAAAAAATTAATCTCATAGAACATGGGTATCCTTTCTCCATGCACATGTTGTCAACCTGACATTACCAAATGACTGTCCTGTACCGTTACATACACGATGTGCATGATCTTAAATGACACACTAAGATTTATAAATGTAACCATCTGTGACATTGTTCAAGTAACACTAATAGAGTTTTCAGATCAGTAAGGGTTAGTACATTATGCTCAAAACATCCACATCCCTCAGTTTGAGTTTTGATCATCAAATGGGTGTCATTTTTTTTGGAAATGTGAAATAAAATGTAGTTGGACTTCAGTAAACTTTACCTACAGCATGCTGACATTTTTGATAACAGTACTGAACAGTGTGTATATATATATATACATACATACATACAAAGATGTATTTTGCTTGGTTTTCGTTACAGGATAATCGCCCCTTGAGTAATTAAGTTGTCATAATAGAACAGCTTGTTAGGATGCTTAAATATATTATATATGTAAATAATGCAACTTCAACATGTAGCATTAATTATCACCTATTTTTGTGAGTTTGGCCTAAATACTTTGGCTGCGTCTCCATTTCATGCTGTCATTTATTAAGTTTTCCCTTGATTGTGAAATAACTGTGCATGAGGGGTATCAACTTTAATGTTTTGGTTCAGGCTCTTGATGCTGTGCAGCAAACCAAGATTGCTGAAGTGCTCGGAAGCGAAGGCAGAGATCAAAATACCCCAAAAGAGAAGCACTCCAGCAGTAAAGATCGCATGTGCCAAGACTCTGCAGATAGAGTCTCGTATGACAAGAGTGGTGATAATGCTGATGAGTAAGGGTTAGTACATTATGAACAAAACATCCAGATCTCTCAATTTGAGTTTTGATCATCAAATTGGTGTCATTTGGTAAGAAATGTGAAATAAAATGTAGTTGGACTTCAGTAAACTTTACCTACAGCATGCTGACATTTTTGATAACAGTACTGAACAGTGTGTATATATATACATATGTATTTTGTTTGGTTTTCGTTACAGGATAATCGCTGCTCGAGTATTTAAGTCGACATAACAGAACAGCAAGTATCGATCAGGACATTTCTAATGCTTCCCTTTGCTGTATATTTAATGTAAAGTAGACTGAATGTACTGCTATACAGAATGTATGAATGTGGACATAAACCAAATGATATCAACATAGCAGCCAGCTGATCAAGATATTCATTCACCATGGACATTGAGAGCTGTATAATTTGCCTGTCTGCTTTTCATGGCCTTGAAGTTGTAAGCTGTGCATTTATTTCTCTTGTAAACATTGATATCATTTTGACAGCTTCTCTTGAATGTGCTGTGTAAAAGGAATAAGCAGTAGTGCTTGCAAAACATTGAAAATGAAATTGAAAACTGTTAATATGTTTAATACTTACAAACACCAAACGTTTGTTGTTCTTGCTTATATGGAGTATCTTGATTTAGCTGGCTACTGAAATGCCAAATTTGGACCTCGGATATTATTAAATGTAGATTTATCAATCTGGAGTGTGTAATGGTTAAAAGTTCTCAATACAAATAGTATACCTTGGTGGTTTGGGACAGCACAGAGTTCAATGTTTTTCCCCTTTTCTTGTCACAACGCAACAAGGTACCTACTGCTTGATATATAGCCAAGAGCAATTGACATATTATGAAAGGAACTTGTCTCTTCATAAAAGTATGAATGTTTAACTCATAATTGTAGGAATTTGTAATGCTGTCCCCAATATTAAATACCAGCATCCAGCTTTTCTGTCAATATGTGCTAGTGATCTACTTTATGGTAAAAACAAGTTGGTATGAATGTGAATTTAAGCTGAATAATTATATGAATTCAAAGGATGTTCATGTAATTTATTATGTTGTACAATGCGCAAGCTATAAGCACTTAAATTAATTGGGTTATTTGATGGGTTATTATATTTAGAAGGTGTGGGTGGAAGTGAATGGCAAGACAAAAACATGATTCAGAAAGACAGTACAAGATGACAATTAAATTTTCAAAATGGTGCTAATATGGTAAATTTACATCCTAAATTGGAAGCTTGGGTAAGTTAGCCTCAGCATGTTCGTTATTAAAGCTGTCTTTACTGTAGGGTTTTGACAACAAAGGATGTTGTATTTCAAGGAAGCTGACAACTTTCCCCCTTGTTAGAATATCTAGCCAAGAAAGTAAGGGCAGCTTCATTTTAGATTTACGAGAAGCAGACATCTCAATGCAGTGACAACAAGATTTGCTATGGTACCATACCATGGTGTGATCTGTCAGGTGTCTGGACTTCACTGGGACAATGTGGTAAATGGAATTGTCAGTAATTTTTACATTCCATAAGGGCAAGAGTACTTATAACTTGCTGATGTACCATTGTTATAAGATTGGGAGAGGTGTTGAGACTAGTTGTCAAGTAAAACCAAAGCAGGTCATTCACTTTGAAAAGGCACATTCTTACATTTGATTTATTGAGGATCCTTAGTCTTTGGTCAGCTTGAGAAAGATACATATTGTTATGTTACCTCTTATTTTTGTTTACTTATATTGGGACAAAAGATGTTTTTGGTTTGGTAACAGGTGAAAAGTATTTAATCTACAACAGTGTTCTGATGGTTTCATTTAAGAAAATTTGCAGTTAATTTGCAGTAAATGCAAACATTTGTAGTACATGGGGGCCTTCATAAATCAAGGTATAGCCAAAACTGATAAAGAATGTTACTCCTTTTCCGGTGCAAATCTGTACAATTTATTTATCAATTCTAATTCAAGAAAGAATTTTTTTCAGTACAGATCTTCATAATTTATGTTCTTTTTTTATGTAAAGATGGTGGGACTATTAAGTAATCTAGTTTATGAAGGCCTTTTTGTAGACAATTCAACACAAATTGCTTTCTCTGAACTGGCGACCTTTATGTTGGAGTTGATCATGGTTTCTGTGCTTGTCAGTTTCCTATGAAATAAATATAGTATGTAATGGCTTATAACATTTCTTTATTTTTTCTTATTCAAAGAACAAAATTAAGTACAACAGATCCAGACATAGTGAAAGATTCAAATTCCACAAGTTTGGTCCAATGCCTGGAAATAAACTTCCAGTACAGATGCCATACATCTTCCTAAAACAAAATGAAAATATGCTTTGCACCATTTCTTGCTAATTTGAAAAAAAAAAAAAACTGATTACTCTCTAAACCAAGCATCACGTCCATTAATGCAAGTTCGGTAAAATTTGAACAAAATATTGCAAATAAAAAAACCCAGGACCATTAATGAGTCAATTTCACAACCATATCTAATAATGGATGAGCACCAGAAATGGTAAAGGAGTGTAAACAACAAAAAATTGACTTAGAAACACCCAAAGGTTCAATGCAATACAGATTGTTTACAATGTTACTGAAAATTCACAAAAAGGTTTGAACCAGACTTTTAAAAAATACTAAAGAAAGTCCTAATATCAATACTAGAGTATAGTAAAATTAAAAAGTAAAGTAC